AATGAGAAGTTGTGAAGTGTTGCTACATATATAGGTGGTTTATATATGGTTAGAGACTCAGAAAGAGAAAGCCAGAGAGGGAAGAAAACAGAATTCGTAGCATAAAAAAACAAAACAAAAAAGTAGAAAATTTTGGATCGTTTTCCTCGTTGTTTGTGAATATTAATTAGCTATATTACTAATCTTTTTTCGGTAGAAAGTAACTGAAAGAAACCGTAACCGATGAGAGAATTCGAAATCGTAACCGATGAGAGAATCCGGACTGGAGTCCATAGATTGAGTGAAACCATGTGTTTGTGTTAATTTATGAAACGTGCATGAAATGTTATTAAATGTTTTCAACTACGTGGTAAAGAATATTGAAAATGATGTAGAAGCATTCTGGAATTGTTATTTACTTTAGACATATATTATTAGATGATAAATCCAAATCTGAAAACTACAAAGCATTTCCCTCTAATGGAAACATTTTAGCTTGCTTATAAATAAATAATTATATATAGAATATTTATGTGGAGTTCTTGTTTGTGTAAGTTCGTAGATGGTTTACCATTAAAAGAAAATTCTATAATAGTTTTTACAATATTTTTCTTTTAACATCTCCTAATAATATAATCAAGATCGGTATAATTTTCTTCTGTTTGAGAATGTTGGGTTAGCTTAACTACGTAGTCAACCTTGAAATATTTTAGTGACTTGTGATATATACTACAAGAATGTGACTTCAACATTCTGAAAATAATATTTACCTTTAACTTTCCTATCTCAGAATGGCACTAATTTTCAATGATATTTTACTTGTGTTAAGTGATTTTCACTTACTTCCGATATCAAAGTGTTCTTAATAGTTTTAAATGATATCCGATCCTACGCAAGGGAGAGGATGTTCTTTGGACTTGAACAATTAAAGGCAATAATGGTTCTTGTAAGAAAAGTAACAATAGTTTTTTTGCTAAAAATATTAATATCATTTAGAAAATTGAACAGTTCAGGTATTACAAACTGTTATGTAAACAAAATGCTAGAACTTAAGATTTGGATCCTTTTTAAGAAAAACATTTTTGCGAAAGAGTAACAGTAGTTGTAACTAATAATCTATTTCTGTAAAAGTATCACCTTTTCCATCTCTGTAAAATGAATTTACATAGAACATCCTTACATTAATGGACGGTGACTACCTATCTATATATTTATGCCACTATGCGATGATTATTATTGAATTAATGACAACATTAAAAATCATTGTAAACAAAAAAAAACACGAGTGTAAATGATGATTGATTATTTTATGTCATGCAGTAGCAAATTGGCCACACGCTTGTTTTGTATTCAACAACTAACCATATTGTTTTAATCAATTTACTTAAAGATTAGCCGAGGATTTTATAGTCATGTGGTAAAATCTTATATGTTGGTATTTTAAACATTAGAGTTCGCCTCCATGTTCCCGCAAATGGTAGTAGAAGATCAGTAGCCTTGGGCTCATAAATGTATATAAGAGAGCGGATTTTAGATTGTTTAAGTAGAGTTAAACAATTTAAATGTAATATAAGAGAGCCGATTTTAAAGTATTATGGGTAAAATTTGTATTACTAAGTGGTCCATCTTGTATTAATAAATGGTCGATTGACCATGTTCACTAAATAGAAGGCCGACTTCCCAATAATGGAAACATGATTCACTGGATTTGGTCCATTTGGAATGCATTTTACTAATCAACTACATTGTTTATTGAACAAAGACTAATCCCATATTTTTCAAATTGATTAAACAAACAAATTTAGGGAGGTTAGAAAGAATAACTAGGATAATGTTAGAATGATTATATAACGTGGAAACAAAAATTGTGTTTTCTTATAGCCTAAAATTATGTATGAGAGACACTGAAAAATGAAAATCATGTGTTTAGAATAAATATCTCCTTCAGTACTAAACAATTTTTATAACGTAAGGTACTCTCAAAATATGCTGACATCTTTATTGTAGAATGCAGTACATGTTGGAAACATATTTCTGTTTATAAAATCAGAAAATTGGTTTCTAAAACATGCTAACACAACAAAAATGCGTTAGCAAAATTCTTTATGTTTTTCTTGTTTGGAGAGGAAATCAGCTAATCAAGCATGATTATTTTATATCAAATGTGTTATATAGATGCGCATTTTTGTCTATTCACTACTCCAATTGATTACTTGTTGAATTTTCTGTACTGTAGTGTCATCTTCTTAATTTTGGTTCTCCTTATTTTTTTTTCCATTTAAAATGCTTTTGTAAAGTTGTTATACACCACATGAACAAACTCATATAACAACTTGAGAAAATGATAATTGTAACCAACATTTTAAAATTATATATCAATCAAAACTGAAAATGTTTGGTTTAATCATCCAATTACAAAATTATATATAAAAACCTTATGAAAGACCAATCTAAGACAAAGCAATGTGACTTATATATAGTACCCAGTATTGATACAAATTTGTTGTTTCGATCCGACTGTATTCAGAGATACTAACTCTCTGGTGGTAACAATAAATTGGTAATAAGCAAAAAATCAGCTAATCAGAAGAAGCTCACAGCTTCTCTTTCTCTCTGCCTGCTTCATTTCAATCTGCTCTCACCTTGATTTCTCCATAGAGATTAGGATCTGCTTTATAGTATACAACATCTCCTTCGTCGCTCACATAGTGATCTTCTTGAATACTTTTCGCGAGAATTCCCAGCAAGTGTAGTGGCAAAGGTCCAGACTTATCCGGCTCCCTGTAATACTTTCCTAATACCGGTTTCGCTGCTTCGGTCTGCAAATGAGAAAAGAGCAAGCAAACACAGAAATTTAAGCTTTCGAAGTATGGACACCAAAATAACCAAAACACAAACAGTCTTTTGTTTCAGTTACTTACTGCTTCTACTAGATGGTAATGAGGGATCTGAGGGAAAAGATGATGTATCACATGAGTTCCAATGTCGTGATGGATGTTGTTGATCACTCCGTAGTCACGATCCAATGTTGTAAGTCCTCCTCTCAGGTAACTCCATTCCTGTTTAGCGACAATCATGAGATTTTACGGAACAGAGGCTTTAACCTTAAAGTGAGAGCATTGTAGCCGAAAAGAACAGTGAAAGCAGAGACTATGCATTTTACCTTCCCACGGTACCAAGGGAGCTTATCTTCATGACCATGGTGATGCAGGTAAGTCACAAAGTCCAACCACATTACATTTATCTGTATTTGACATAAAAACAATTTTCGGGTAAGGCAGAGGATATAATACACAAATTGCTTAGTCTAAAACACGGAAGTTAAACAGCGCATTACCCAGTAAGGAATTGCATAGAGTTTGAGCATTTGCATTGGACCCATCACAAAGTTGAGACAGACAAGCAGAGCAGCCATTGCAGTCCAACAAGCAGTAGAAGTGAGAACATCCTTTCTCTCTTTAGGGAGGAACAAGTCGCTGTCCGGATGGTAATGAGACCCCTTTTTCCCCGGACTTCGAGCCCACTGAATCAGAAGAGGAAAACATAAGCTTTTTTACTTGATTCATCGGCTTAACTTAACAGTAATAAACAGACGAGTTTTTTTACCAAGTAGAATGGGTACGCGAGCATCACGAGAGGCAGCGTAAATCTAAAGAATCGAGTCGGTTTATCCAAACTCTTGTAGATTTTCTCATTCATCTGCAGTGACAGAAAAAAGTAAAAAACTTTCATCTAAGAAACACCACAGGACTGAAACAAGATAACAAAAAAAAGCCCAGTTCACTTACTGGATGCCAAGATTCATCGTTCTCAACATGTCCATGGTTCTGGTGGTGAGTTCTGTGGCTAATTCTCCTGCACACCAACCAAAGTCAGATACTTATACAATAATAAGAAGGTGAGATTCTGCAAGTAATTTCTGAAAGAATTGTTTGAAAAGCAAAACTCACCAGCCATGATAAGGAACCAGAATTGAAGAATGAAGAAGATGACCCACCACACTGTTCAACCTCTGATCATTTGAGAAGCTACCGTGTCCACTGCAATTCAATAAACAGAAATAAACAAATTGTTTGACAATTACAAGTAGACTAAACATATGCAACACCAATAACAAGTTGTCTACAAGCAAC